TTTTTTTTTTTTTTTTTTTTTTTTTTTGTGCAACCCTGTGCCATGCTAGAGTAGTCTGTTTCAGCAGTGAATGTTTAGAATTCTACGAAGCTCGTCATACACCTCTCCCCTGCTCTTTGCATATCATATTCTATCCTGCCCTCCACATATTTCTTTCCTTCCCGTTGCCCCTACCTCCCTTGCCCCGTACTCCTATAGAACTCTGCCTTCTATCCCTCCACCCTCCCCTCCACTCCCTTTGTGCTACTAACCAATACATACGAATGAGCATCATTAACAGAACAGACGATATGAAGATCAGAAATGAAATGAACGGAAGTATGAAGATGAAGGACAGACACAAAGACTGTATAAGCTGAAGATCTGAAGTGAAATGAACAGGAGTGTGATGCTCTGAAGAGAAATGCACAGGAGCATACCTTCCCTTTTACTCTGCCTCCTGAAATAACGTGCAAGTGGGCCGTGAAGGCACACAGGGATAAGGGCAGCTGCCGCTCAACCACAATCGATGTGGGCAGCCTTGTGCGTAAGAGGCACAGTAAAAGGGGAGCTGCGAGAACAATGAAAGGGGTACCCCAAGGACAACCAAAAAACTGTCTAATTTTAAAATTGCTTTACTATGTTGGACATCTCAAATGCTCCCGTTGTCTGCAATAGGACAAAGATTGCTTTGATTCTGAATCTATTCATCTGGGTGGAATTGGGGCTGTTGTGGGGGAAATCTATAACACATACAGGACTTGTGTGATGGCTGTATTGCTTGGTCTGTCTCTGTGTTGTGTCACACTTTTTTTTTTTTTTTTTGGTGTAAGGAGGCCTTGTCTTTTATATGAAAGCTGGAAACTGACTTTTTTTTTGCTTTTTCGATGGACCACGACGGATCAGATATTAAGCTGATCAGAACAGATACTACAGTTGATCTATTTTTAGCCAAAGGCCAAGAAACCGGGTGTGTTGGGTCACTCTGTTCTTGTTTTGTGGTGATTTTTTTTTTTTGAAAAGAAAACAAACAAGGAAATCTCTCTTTCAAACTTCGCTCCATCCTTCTCTGTTCGCCTAGTGCATTTTGCCTCCCACACAATCTTTTTTTATCATTAGAATCTCACTCGTTTCGGTTGAACCGGCACCCACACAGTTCAGTTCTTCACTTTCGCTCTATTCCATGCACTTTCGCTCTATTCCATGCTAAGTCACAGAGGATCTTTGCTCAATTCTATATACTGAGTGATTCATGCCATGCTAAGTGACACAGAGGAAGCATAGAGGGTACTTTGTTCTATTCTGTAGACAGGGTACTTTGTTCTATTCTGTAGACAGGGTACTTTGTTCTATTCTATAGACGAAGTGAACCCTGCCATACTAAGGAACAGTGGAAGCATGTTATATTCTATATGTGAAAGGTATACTAAGTAAGAGAAGAACAATGTTCTGTTCCATATACAGAGTGTTCCATGAGTAAGCATAGAGGATAGTTTGTTCTATTCTACATATTATATAGTATATACTAAGCGATTGATAGCAGGGTTGCAACCCCCGACAGTCGGCGGCCCTTGACTGGTCGGCTGCCAACCCACCGATGGATCAGCTGGTCGGCACCTACCGGTCGGGGGTCGTCGGCACCTACCGGTCGGGGGTCGTCGGCACCTACCGGTTGGGGGTCGTCGGCACCCTGCAAAAAAGAAAAAGGGGAAAAAAAAGGGGTCCAAAACCCCTAATAACACCACCACCACCCCCATCGCGGCCCCCAATACCCCCCAACATCCCCAAATCCCCCATACACCTCCCCAACACCCCCAAACCACCCCCAACACCCTCATTACCCCTCCCAATACCCCCTATATCACATACAATTAAATTACTCAATTGAAATGTATGTTTTTGAATATGAGTTTTATCTTTCTATTGGATTTAGAATTATTGTATATATATAATTTATTTTATGTATATAATTTATTGTATGTATTTATTGTATGTATATAATGAATTCAATTTTATTCAATTCTATTATATAATTGTACCTATAAATAAGAATATATAATAAAAAGAATATAATATACATACATATAATCAAAAGAACATATA